CGCTCGACCGTCACACTTGCAGTGGGGACAGAAACATCAGCTGAGCCCCGTCAGTTGGAGAGCAGTCATGCTGACATATGTATCTTGTATAAAAGGAAAGGTTAAGGGAGTGCGGGGGGAAAACGAAACCTTCATGACAGTGCACATTTGACCTTGATATTTTCACTGTCGCAGCCAAGGATTAAACTGCCCTATCGAGTTTCTCTGCCTGGGACAGCTCCAGTGTCTTAAGCCTGGGTGTAGGGTGTCTGTGCAGATGTCAGCACCATGGATTGGCCCCACTGCAGCCTTTGGGGTTAGCTGAGCTCAGCCCCATGCACACCATGAAGGGGCAGACGGTGGGATGATGCAGAAATGACCCCATTGCTTCCTACACAGCCGAGATGCGCTGTTTTACTGAGCTGAAGCTTGAGGACTTGTCCCATCCCTGGCAGTGCTCAAGGTCAGGTTGGACACGGCTTGGAGCAAGCTGCTCTAGTGGAAGGTGTCCCTGCCTGTGACAGCGGCTCGAATTGGGTGAGCTTTAAGGTCCCTTCCAACCAAACCAAGCTGAGATTCTATGATTTGGGGATGGCACAAATCGAGCCCAAATCAGGGCAAGGAAAGAGCCTTTCCATCCCAGCCTTCCCAAAAGCAGTCTCGGAAAGCCTGGCCCTCCTCTGCTGACCCACCTGTATGCACAGATTCAGCTGCCGACTGCTCATTAATGCCAGTTAATTACCATAGGTGATTCCTGCAGCTGGGAGTCATGCCTGTACTTAAACTCAGGCACATGCTGAAGCTTTTTCTTACCCAATGTGGTCCAACTAAGCCAAACTCCTCCACAAAACACACGTGCATCCCTGCCCTCTTCACAGACGAACACACAGACCCCGAAGCACAACCCTGCTCCTCTCTCCCCTCCAAACCCCTCCTTTGGAGCCAAATTTGACATTTACAGCTGAAAAGTGCTGAGATAGGGCAAAAATGGCAGCTATGGTGGGAGCAGATGCTGTTAATGTCAGAGGCTCACCCCAGGCTCAGCGCCCACCGCACACGGGTGATCACTCTCCGTGCTATCACTCACGTCACGCTTGTCACTTCCTTCCCAAGCCTTTGTTTTACTGGGGGGAGATGAGAAATAAAGGGAAACCAGCGGGGTTTGATGACTTCCTGCTGGGCCGCTAAAGTGAGGATGCTCCATTGAACACAGCCAGGTTCAGAATCCTTTTTGCTCCATTTCACAAAAGGGAACTTTTCTCCTCTTGTAAATCTATTTAAAAATAGACCCACTACCCATTAATACAACAAGATCAAAGTGAGATTCTTTACCCTTGCCTTATAAGTCCATCTTTTCAAGAAGTTTACAGCTCGGCAGCAAACACACATACTCTCAACTGGATTTTTCTCCTTTCCCCCCCCCCCCCCCAACTACTCCATTTAACCCCTTTTAAGCTGTGTAGGACCAGGGACAGGCAGCATCCTTCAACTCCCAGTGCACCCCAATAGCCACAGTGCAGAGAGCAAGAGCATGTGCACTCCTCAGAGCCTCAAAGAAACTCCCAAATTCAACTATTAAAATCCTCACAAATTCATTCAAAAGAATTCTCCAGGACGGGAGTAGGAGAAGGTTTTTCCATGGCATTTTTCCCCGCACTTCCCAGCTTTCCAGGGCACGCTCACTCCTTTCTGTTTGGAAAGGAAAGACAGAAGTCTTCAAAACGACAGCCTTGAAACCAAGGCTCTTCTGTCGTAAAATAACTATGCCTGTAGGGCTCTTTCTATCATATAAATGCTGGATCAGGCAGTTCGCTGTCCTCTACAGTCTGCAAGATGCCAACACAAAAGTATTAGGCTGACACAAACTCTGTATTTATGGCTCTGGCCAATTGGATAGCGAATCCCCCACGTGCACACACAAGATCCAGACGCAGTTTGAGCTGCTGGAGAGGTCTGGAAGCGCATGGAGCAAGGATTAATTATCCCAAATCACCTCCAAAACAACCTTGGTCCACGGCAGTGATGCTGCATGGACCCATCCCAGTGCTGCTCTGAGAAATGGCTCTAAAGATGAGTGCCCCTGGGGGTGTTTGGTGTTCAGATCCAGCTTTTAGGTCAGAATGAGCCTTTCTGCTCTTTTCCAACCCCTTGAGCCATGCAGGGGGTAGCAGATAAGTCACAGAACAGTCTGATGCCCTATGCTGGAGTAATCGGGAGAGCAGGCGTGACGCCGGGTAGAGGGGCTCACCAGGGGATGAAGAGCTGTCAGCTCTGGCATGAACACAGCCCTTGGCAGCACTGCATGCAGAGGAAAATCCCGTTCAGCTGCAAGCCCAGATTAGGTCAGCAGAGCTTGCAGTTTTGGAGTGGAAATGCAGATTTCATCACTTCTGAACAGAGATCCACCAGGAAATGCTGGAATACGCAACACCCCAGCAAAATAACTTGGCAGAACTGCACCTCCTTAGGCTGTGACCCACAGGGGGACTGCTGTGGGGCTGCTCAGGGCTTTGGGGAATCTTAGGGGACATGATGACCAATGCCCATGCTATGCAGTGATCGCTAGCACCAACCCTTAGTCCCAACCAAGCAAAGTAGGTCCCAAAGCTGCACCCAAACCCTGCCGTGCTCTTTAGCTCTCTCCATTCATCCTTAGTTTTAAATTCCCTTGAGAGCTTAGATTATTTCTAACAACCATTAGGCAGAAAGCGGGGTTTAGATCTGCTGGTGATAGAGGCCTCTGGATGCCAAACCCTTGAGTTGCAGCATGTGCCATCACTTTAAACACTCATTTCAGCATCCATATTCACATCAACACAGAGGGGCCCCTGCCTTTCTCACTGACATCAGTAATATGTAAAAGCACCAAAGGAGACATCCCCAAGTGCCAATTTGTCTTTGAAAATGCAAAAAGATGTACATCTACAATAAACACGGCTATGGAGGGAGGCCTCAGACACAGCAAGAGAGGCTGTGCTGGCTTTAGCTGCATGGCTAATGGCAAGTGACACCATAAAGGTAGTTTTCAACATCAAAATCGGTCCGCATCTTCTAACGGGGACGGAGGAGGTTTGTCTGACCTCGTTTTAGTCCTATTCAAACTTGACTGGGACTAAGGTCTGAGCTTGGAGGGTGTGGGAAAAGTGCAGCAGAGTGAAAGATGGGAGAGGGATGAAAGAATAAGAGGTGGAAAGGGAAAACTGTGGAAGTGCCACAGTTGTTCAGCGACAACAGTTTGGGGCCCAATGGGCACAGAGTAAGAAAAGGGGAAGGAATCCCTGCCCATGGCAGGGGGGTTGAAACTAGATGGTTTTTAGGGTCCCTTCCAACTTCAACCATTCTATGATTCTATGGGTAGTACCATGGAAAAGCAAGAAGAGAGCCCATACCCATGGCACTTGGGCTTATCTTCATGGGTATTATCTTTCCAGGAGGAATCATCCAAACCCAGCATCTAGAAGCCCATTTACTGCCATGTATGAACTTAACCCTTTAATTCTGGCTTCCCAAGAGTGAGTTACTCCCAACAAATGCTTCTATCAGCGGGAAGCTCCAAAACCAAAGCTGCCAACAGCACCGTGCGTGCTGGCGTGCGGATGCCTATCCCCTCATAACCGAAGTATTCCTTAACTCATCAGTCCCAAGGATGATTCCATGTGCCCACAGCACACACATCCCAAGGGAAACAGGGAATCAACCCCAGCACAAACTGCAGAGCCTAAAGCCAGTGCCTGGCTCCTGCCCCAGCACCAAACCCTTCCTTGCAGCACAACTCTAACTTTCCATGGTGTGAGACTTTGGTAGGACGAGTATGAGACGATGAGTCAATAAGACTTGATTGTAAGATGAATGTTGAAGAATGTGCTCATTAGCCCCGCTGCTCACAATGGCAGGATGTGGTGCCAACTTTCTGACAAAGAAATGCAGGGATTAATTTAGTGACTAACGACACGGAGAATTGCATTACTCCGGTATGCTCCCTGTATCCCAATGTGTAAACATCCCTAACAGCACAAGAGCTTGTGCCTCAAAGAAAGGCACAAGCTCAGCCAGACTTGTGCCGTTTCCTTGTTAAGATGGCTTTTTCTTGCTGCTTTTCCCTTTCAAACCCAGTCATTGGACAACTCCTGAGAACTGGGGTTTAACTAGAACTTAACTTGGGGTTAAATTCCCAGAGGACTATAGGCAAATACTTCAGTGCCTTCTCCTGGTTAAACATTGTATTGTGTGTCTGGCTATTACAGAGCAGTCAACACACTCCACCCTGGAACAGGCTGCACTTCAGTCACCAGCATCTTAGGCCCAATGCCCAAGGTCTTCTTAAAGTGACCTGGATGATGGGATCAAATGCATCCCGATGAAGTTTACTGATGATACCAAAGTGAATGGGGAAGCAGACTCTTTGGAAGGGAGAGCCATCCTGCAGGATGAGCTGGATAGGCTGGAAGAATGGGCTGGCAAGAACCCAATGAAGTTCCAACAGAAGCATAAGGTCTTGCACCTGGGTAAACACAATCCAAGAGTGCAGCACAAGCTGGGATCTGCCTGGCTGGGGAGCAGCAATGTGGGAAGGGACCTGGAGAGCCTGGTGGACAATAGGAGTGAACAGCGTGCAGCTGCAGCAAAGAACACCAACAGAGTGCTGGGGAACATCAAGGAGGACATTGCCAGCAGAGATAAAGGTGTCATTATCCCACTGTACCCAGCACTTGTCAGGCCATACCCAGAATACTGGGTTCTGTGATTCCATGATCTCTGAAGGACTTGGGAGCTGACCTGAAGTTTCTGGAGAGCAGGAATGCAGCATGTGGAACCAGGGGAGCTGTCTGTGGCTTCTCCAGAGCCAGACAATACCAAAGGCAATATTCACATCCATGATGGATATTAGCTCAACTTAAGGCCGGTGGCTTTATCTTTGCTGCCATAGGAAATAGAAAAGAAAACCTCATTAAGCAGATCACTCAAGTCAGAGTCGCCCTTTAAGATGCCAATTTGCCTTTCCTTGCCTGTGTTTCTAATTCTCGGGTACCACAGCAAGTCAATAGTTCAAGGCTGCAAAGCAAGTTGCTTCAAGTCAAATATTCAATTGTTATTAGATAACTTTGCCTCCGTTCGGCTGCTGTGTGTAGGTGGGTTGCCAGGTTATGCACGGCACATAGCGCCTGAAATTACATTGCACAGGATGGAGAAAACTCCACTGCAGATAGCCAGGAACTGGATTTATGCATTTGGGTAGGATATTACCAACCTACAAAGACAGAGAGAGGAAGAATATAAACCCATTTGTTTTGATCCTTCCAGCTTTTCATCTCCTTCCTCAGGACTATGTTAAATGATGTAAGCACCATCCCATCCAATATCATATCCTGCTCTAGTTGTCATAAATCTGCCCAGTATCAATCCATCACACGAGCCCTACACAATCCAGGAGATAACCTCATTTGAATTGGGAAGCCTCACATGACACCACTGATCTGTAGCTCCAGCTGGCCTCACTCCTGGACTTTCCCTCACACTCAATGTGCAACAATTAGAGGAGTTTCTGCTTGTCTCCTCTGGATACAGAGAGTTTTGAGCAAAGCATCTTTTAGATGCAAGAAGCTTGCTTGGATTTGCTTCACGCTGAACTACTGTTAAAAGATGCAAGGGTTTAACCTCTTAACCAGGGTGATTTGGGATCGGGGACAGCCACAAGAGATTGTTTCATATGGCAGGAAAGACCCTGGTCAGGACGCTCCAGACTCACTGCAGTGGCTTTCGACCTGCCCATCTGCCATCCCACCCACCAGAGACATCCAGCACCTCTGCAATGGCTCAGGTCCTTCCCAGGAGCATGCTGTGCCACACTGGGAAAGCTTTTCAGTAGCATCAAATATTGTTTTGTGTCCTGAAATAAAACACACACTCTGAGGGCCATTAAACATAATGTGGATGGAGAGCTTGGGGACTTTGCCTTCTCCCATGGAAGACATGGCAGATGCCAATGGATTCGGGTACCTCTGGGTTTTCAGTCAGCTGCTCTTATCCAGCTGGAGATAAGAAGCCTTGATCATGCAAAGTCCAGCTCAGAGCACACTAATACCCATGCTATAAAACCACAGTCTTGCTTTTGCCATCTGCCTCTTGGCCAGTAGGGACAATGCTTTTAGTGTGAGCGAGAGCATTGTCCCTATGGCAGCTGAACCATCTCAACTGGGACTCTGCCTCAGAAACACTTGCACAGCCTAAAATATCTCCAGCGATCTGGTGGGCTCGCATGCGTTGAGGCAATTCACCATGGCACATTTTAATAAAACCAGTGACAAGGAAATTGCTATTGAAGAGGGTCCCCTGGCACCGCAGAGGGTGAAGAGGAAATAAGAATCAGTTAAGGAGTCTGTCCTCGGAAATGATAAATCTACACTGTTGCTTGGGTAAGCAAAAACCAGGCAGCAATGAATTCTCGGGTGAAGCTGGAACGATCTGCAAACACAAACCGGCCTCAGACTGCCTCAAACCCAAACAAAAAATTCCTGAATATAGGCACAGTATGATGCCCATTCATCCCCAGCAACAACCAGTGTCCCACCAGCTTCGCTATCTGCCCCACAGGTAAAGAAACCAAGATAGCTGAAACCTCTGTGGCCATGGAGGATACTGGAGAGGAACAAGCCCTTGGAAAGCTTCCATCACCCCTGCACAACAGCACCAATAACACAGCATGATTATCTGAACTGCCTCCATATCCCTCTGGACCTTCACCCCCTCAGCACCACGGCAGAAGTCTGGGGCTCTGCAAACACAGCACAATCAATCTACTGAGTTTCAAGAGCCTTAAAGGTCATTTAAAATTGCTATTCTCTGCTTGATGTTGAAAAGCATCGTCTAAAAGCAGTGGGTGCTGGAGCTCACAGCAACAAGGGGCTGCTGCTGGCTCTTCTTGAGCTCTTGGCTAGATTTGCAAGAAGGGGCACAACTTCTTAATGCAAACGGGGATATAACTGGGGATGCAAGCACCGGGGGGGGGGGCTTTGAGATCCTTGGGAAGGGATGCAGCTGGATGCAAAGCCATGCGTGAGCCAGGGCACTTTGCCAGCACCTCTGCTCTTTTTATTAAGAGTTTTTAGTCCTACAACTGTTCGGCTTGCCCTTTGCTCCTAGGAATGTCATTGCTTTGAAATAGGGGAGAATCCAAATCCTGCCGACTCCAATCCCTCCTGTGCTGGGCCCAGAGGATGCTTTCCATTTCCATGTTCCCAGCTTGCTGACAACAGAACCTCCCGTGGAAGCTGAAGGCAGGAGGAGCCTCTCACCAGGTGGGTCAGCGCTTGCCTTCATGCTCAAAACCATCTTTCACCGCACTCTACTGCGTTTCTTTTGGTGCTTGTTTTCCCTAACACACGCTACACTTTACATTTTAGAGCGCCAGAGACTGTGAAAACTGTTTACTTCAGTCAAAACCCCAGACTACCTAAAATAAACAGACAAAAAAGGAGTATCTCATTATTTACTGGGAGCTACAGAAGGTCCATTCACTTTGCAAAGCAGCCGGCTGCAGGAAAGCACTTATTAAAAACACCCAAACCAATAAGCACAACCCCAACTCATTTATCCAAGCTTTGCAGCTATTATTTGGCATTTTCTTTCCCCAGCCACACAAATCTGATTCATTACTTATTTACAGTACGGCCCCCAGCCCAGGTCCTCCTGCTTAGTGGCTACGCATAGAATGGGAGAAACAAGAGGAGAGAAAAGGGGAGCAGCTGCTCTCCAGAGAAACCCCAACACAGTTCAAGTGGAGAATTTCATATCTCTCAAGCAGCCCAGCTCAATACGCAATAAATTCATCTGTCTCACCTCTGTTGCACTAAGTCACTGCATTTTCCCCCTCTTCCTTACTCCTGCAAGTACTAGAGGTGGCAGCTCTTTGCTCCACTCACAGGGAGGGTTGCCAGCATGTTGGCTGTTGTCCCACATGACAAAAGCCTGATGATCCTTGTTTTCATCTGGGCCATTGGTTAAAGGCCACCTCCACCCAAATCCCAGCTCTTGCCAAAGAGGCAGCTGACTGCTCCGGGTCTGAGCATCAGCTTCAAACCTGCTCGAAGGGAGCGCTACTCAGTGCGTTGTCATGGCAAAGCCCCTCTTTGTCTTGATGCTGCTCTTAGTGCTCAGCCACCGAATGGGTCAAGTCAAAGTCCCACAAAAAGACTAGAAAGAAATCCCATTAACTCCTCTGGTTTGGCATCAGACCATACTTTTTCAAATAGCCTGATCTTATAACAGTGATATAACAGGAGAATAAGTGAGCTGAGCTGGACCACAACGACCCAAGGTGAAGACGCCATACAGGAGAATCCTGCTCCCAGCCCCGAATCCCTGTGAGCTGCTGCATCAGACATTAAAACACCTCTTTTCACATCCCATGTAGAGCAGACTGGGGCAGAAGCAGTTTGTGTTCAACACTTCTGAAGGCAGAGAAGAGAAGGAAATTAAAAACCTTCAAGCACTACTTTCAAAACTATATCATGAATGGGAAATTTCAAGCTGGCTGCAAGGGGAAAGAGAATCCAAAGGCAGGATGGGTTTTTTTTTCACTAGCCCTTATTAGGCAAAAGGGCTCTGTAACTATTTATAAGTGCCTCCCCCCCTCCTCCCCATCCAAACCCAAAGCCTCTGGCACAACACCATGAACCTCCTCTGCTGTCGGAGCATGAATGCGGATGTCACAAATTCAAGCTTACAGCATCACCGGCCAACTTTAAGTCTATGAAAAGGCCACAGTCTCCACCATTCCCAGTCATTCTTATCCGTTACGTTGATTAACACCCATCCGCAGGAAGATGAGGGAACAGAGCCAACATTATTGCTCCCTCATTGGATTATTTTCCCCACAGTTTTTGTGCGCTGTGGGCTGAAGATCTTCCTCTCTAATCTCTCTGTCCCTTGGGACCCAGGTATTCAAGAGGGACTGGGAGAGAAAAGTGAGCCCAGAGCTCCCAACTACTGCACATGAGAAAAAACCCAGTGCTCCAGTTAGCCACGGAAAGCTCAGATCCCTCCACAACTCACACAGAGGGGACCCTGGGTTTGGCTTGGTTTGGTTTTTCCATGTTATATTCCACTTTGTGTGGGGCCAAACCCAAAACATCCACAGCCCCATCAACCTGCAGGCTACCAAGGAGAAAACCAGCATTATTTTAAAGATGCTGCACTCATGAGGGCAGATTGGAGCAGGGAGGGTCCCCACTGGCCCTGGGAGGAGATGTCCCCCTTCTACACCAGGGCATCCTCTCTGTCTCAGGGGCTCTGTGGGCTCAGGCTGAGATTATTTGGGCATTAGCTTCCCCCAAATCCCTAAAGTCTGTGCATGGCATTAACAATATGATGGGATGTGGAGGCACAGACAGCTGAGAAAACCTTGCCCTGCCCCATGCCGTGAGTCTGGCATCGATTATGGCAATAAGGACCTTATTTGAGCCCTTCCAAGCACTTTAACGTGAACCAGACCATCCCCAAGGACACTCCCTGGTACACGAACGACAGACGACAGCGATGCCGACCCTTTTCTTCTCCCTAAGCTTTAAAGTTTTTTGTCCCAGTGCCCTGCAAGGCTCGTGCCAGTTAAAGACACTTTGGCAGCTACAGAGCCAATTTAATTGCTGCCATCAACTCGTTCCCAGACAAACGAATTCATTCATGATCCACATGCACTGTGAACATAGAAAACACCCCGGAGTTCTCAGAGCGATGCACAAAGCCATCAGTGGCTCCAGAGCAGGGCGGAGATTTTTAGGGCTGATCACAGATTTCCCATCAAGTATTTAGATGGGGAAGGGGGGGGTTGCTACATGAAAGCATTCACACAAGAGGCCTGCTCCTCTCCACAGCTTGCTGCTTCACCCTCAAAGCACAACCCCCAAACCGAAACAAAAGGGTAACCACTGATTTTGATGGAGCCAGAGGATCTTTGCAGTAATAAAATCTGTTTCTACATTTCCTTTGATGGATATGAACCCGAGCTCTGAATTCAGCCTGCTGTAAACCCACCATCCACTTCCAAATACAGCTTCATGGCTTATTTGCATTATGGGCCCATCAGTCCCGCGGGGAAGCTCTCCTCTGCCTCTCCTTCCAGCAAGCTGCAGATGGAGACATGCAAAATGCCATCCCACAGGCTACCACAGACTTGAGTTGCAGCAGGAAAATATTTCCATTACACTACACCAACACAGAAACTTGTTCCATCCTTTGTTCAGGGATGCTGCT